TGTGTTCTACTTAAGTAATTTATTGTGTTCTCTTAATGTCTCTGCTAAGTTCTAATTGTTTAAAAAACAGCTGAGTTTTTTATTATTAAAAGTTATGGTTTGCTTAAATACATACTCATTCTAAAGCATTTAAGTAATCACTTTGTATCAGTGATAAGATCTGATCTATATCATGTCATGATGTTAAGAGATACTATTTCAAACAGGTATTTTAAGTCTTCTTGGCATATTTGATAGGCATTCAAAAAATCAAAGTTCCAAATTCTCTGGACTTTGATATTCCCCATTGGGTCCCTAGAAACATCAAAGGATATATCTCTCATCTTGTAGAGATACCAACTAATAAGGCTATTTGGATTATATTAAAGGTACTGTCAAGATGTGAAGTGGTGCAGAATTTTGTTATGATAATGTAAAATGCTACTGATACAAATGTCCAAAAGTTAAAAAGTCTAATGATCTTGTGTTGATATCAGACACGATGGTTTGTCTCAATGAGAAAGGCCCAGAAACCTGAAAGGGTGAAATGTTTTATAAAATCCTACAGGTGCTTTCAAAATACTGTGTAGAATAAGCAAGTGCCTCTTCCTGTCAGTTAATGAGTTTATAATTTTAAACATGGCTATTTGAAGTCTTTGTCTTCCACAGTTTTGTATTCTCCAAACCCTAAAAATCAGATTTATTGCTCATGAAGTTAAAACATTGTTGGCTCTGTGTTTAAATGTGTCCTTTTAGGTTCCAAAGGACTTTTTCCCCTGACTTCTATTATATTTAATATTTTGGGACAATTTTGTAAGCAGATAAAGCCAATAATGTGCTACAGGTTCCAACTTAGAAAAAAATATGGTTAATTCAGATTACTAAGAGCAGAAAGTAATTCTAATCGATTGATGGTAATTAAAAAAACAGCTAAAAATTTTAGGAAACTATTACTGAAAGTGCTTTATTGTTCTATCTTGTATGTTATATTACACATGTGCACATATTGTATGTCTACATGGGAAAATTTATTAAGAGCTCTGTTTTAATTGGTTTATAAAATATTACTCATAAATTTAAACTGCTAAGATAATCAAAGATATCTTTTGGTTCATCTGACCTAAATCTCTCTATCAAATGTTTTAATTCACTGACATGTTTGTACTTGAGTTTGCTGGTCAAACAAGTTACACTAGTGTTGGCTATGTAAACAGTGTTTCCAAGTACACATAATCCTGAAATTTATAGAAGGCATTGGACCTTTTCGTAAATGTTTTCATAGTTGTTATTTAACAGTTAAAATTGTCTGCTGAGTTTTCATTTGATTTTGTTATTGTCAGTAAGTGATGTGGGAAGCCTGACTTGTTCCCTCATTTCTCTATTCTCTTCAAGGAAACTAATTCTATTCTGAAGAACCCTCCAGGATGCACAATTTGATCTTCAGACCTTATAAAATGGATGGCTAATACTCTTCTGTAATAATAGCATAGCTAACATGAGAACTTACATTATGATTTCACAGCTAGATTTACTTTGCCATGGGCACAGTAAACAGGCAAAACCTCTTTTCCAGACCAAAGGAAGGGAGAGAAAGTTTCACTAAGAGCATGACATTTTATAGATAAGGTGGTCATCATGTTTGTTGAAGCAAGGACATAGCTTTCTTCATGGGCACTGTTTACCCACAGAAAAACCACTATTGGAACATGCCTGTGACTACAGACTTCTAGTTTAGGCCACCAAAGATTAGAGATGGGACTTCTGCTTTAGCAAAAACCAGGAGGAAGAGAAGGTAGGCTGCAGAAGCAATGCAAAGATAGGTGGCAGGCAAATTAATGGCTGCTTTACACAGGGATCTGCTATCAAGGAGATCCAACAGGCCAGTCCACTGCAACTGGCATTGGTTTTTGATGTGGAAAGCCAGGGCTTCAGATGGACACCGAACTTTTGCAGAGCCCTGACTGCTCTGCCAGACAAGAGCTGGGTCACTGGAAACAGAACTGCCTTGGGGGTTGAAGGACTCCTAGGTCAGAGCTGCAGACCCCATTGGCCCTGAGCTAAAAAGCTCTTAGCTCTGCCCAGCTTCCAAAGTAAATACCACTTTTGAGGGGATGGCCAAGTAGGGTCAGCAACACTGCAAGCAGAACTGTAAATTTTCTGTTACAGATGCTACCTGCCTCTCAGGCCAGGTAGGTAATGGAAGTCAACAGGGTGCCTTCCCTAAGAAGGTTCACACCTCCCTTATGATGTCTCTTCCAGTTCCCCATGCAAAGAGATAGATCTGGACCTCATATCTGGCCAGGCCTTAGCTCACCTGATTGTTATCAGGTCCCTCCTGTCAGTTTCTATTTGCTGCTCAATGGGAAAACTTACTCATGGTTTAGACAGCACCTTTCTTAGGTCCTCTACTAATGTCTCTGTCCTTAGTTTTAGACTCTGTGAGTTTAAACTGCTTGTTAGATTAGTTTTCTCCAGACTTGAAACAGTGAAATTGTAGGTGGCCATGCACATGAAACCTCAGATGGAAGCAGTTTCTGCAAGGTGTCACTGCCATCCCTCTCAAGAATCCACCTCCAGCTGGAGCCCTGTCTTGACTCATGTTCCCACTAATGCCACTTTTCAGCATGAAGCAGCCACAGCAATCATCGCCCATTCCCCCTTGTGGGGAGCAACTGAGACTAGACTAAATTACTGGAACTAGGACTAATTCTATGCATCTGATCTCCCACAATATGGCACTGAGAGAGACCGACCAAACAACTTCTACGCAGCTGCCTCACCAATTCGACTGATAAACTGCAGGAGCTGATCCTGCTCCTGATTGGAGGAGAGCAGCGTGCTCAGCGTGTGGGCTGCACAGTTGGGATTGGTGGAAGAGGACTATAAAGGAGGAGAGAGACAACATGCACCAGGAACATCTGAGGGAAACATCTGAGGAACCCCTGAGAGCCTGCCGGTGGTGTGCTCCTCCGCGGAAGCGGCGAAAACGGCAGGGGTGCCGCCCCTCCGCGGAGGCGGGGGGCCGGCAGCTAACCTGGGACGGCGTCGTTCCTCCGCGAGTGAGGGAACGGCAGCTAACCCGGGAAGAGCCGGGCAAAGAGAACAGCGCAGGGTCTAGTGTCGTTCCTCCGCGAGTGGGGGAGCGACACCCCTAACAGATGTTAGGGCCCATTCTTGTTGAAGGGGTAATGTGAGGAGTCAAATGGGGTTAATAGGTAGGCTGGAAAATGTTACCCCCAAAAGTTATCTTTGATAAGATCATTCTCCTTCCTTAGGAATTTCCAAATTTACCATGAGAATAGAAAACAAGTTACCTATCCCACCCTTCTGGATGGTTTTTTGTTTTATCATGAGCAGGCCAGATAGGCTGGAGAACTGTAAATCAGGACTTTTGATGGGTTTTGTCCCTGCCTGGTAACTGAGTGTCAATCTGTCAAGTTTTTTCTTTGAAACTGTACTTAAAAACCCCAGTGCCATTGGGGTCCTTTGGGTTTTTACCTCTCTTGGAAGAACCCCCATCCATATCACTCTTGCTGGAGGTCTTTTACTCTAATAAATCTTGCTTTTTAAATATCCAAAAAAAAAAAAGTTACCCAGAGAGTGATGAGGGGAGATCTCACTAGCAAAGTTTCTGAGCAGCACCTGGACCACGGGAGGGAGCAATGTGTGTGTCTGCAGGAACAGCATTCCAGGTGGAAGAAAGAGGAAAAGCGGCACCTGAGGCAGCGCTGGGTTTGGTCTCTCTCGAGGATCAGTGAGGACAGGGAAAGCGGTAGGAGGTAAGCTCGGAGAGCAGCGAGGCAGGTGGGGGACCTGGGGTTACAGGCAGGGAAGGGTCCAGCAAGGCCTCTGGCTTTTACCCTGAATGAGATGGGTTTCGCAAAGAAGCAACATTTTCTGACTCAAATTTTAAAGGATGACTCTCTTTTGTGGAGACTAGACTTTAGGGCAAGGAGGGTGTAAGCAGAAAAACTAATTAGAAGTAATTCAAGTGAGAAACGAAGGAGACTGGGCCAAGGGATTATGATGGAGGTAATTTAGTACAGTGTCACAGTTAATGAATAAAAACTACTTCTGAGATAGTCTGACATGATACTGACACCTTCTGGCTCAGAAAAAAAAATCTTACCAAGTTTTACAATGACAAAAGAGAGAGCCACTGTAAAAACAAAGAAGTTCTATGTAAGTTTTTTTAAGAAAGGAATTTTGTACTTTGGCAGAACCTCACGCATATATGGCATAATCACAGCCCTACCATGGGCGTGTGCTCCCCAGAGGAGCCTGCCCTGAGGGGTCTGAGCCACAGGCAACAGCCACCTCACCAGCTTGTGTCTGTGAATGTGAGGGATGCCCTGGGGTCTGCTGTGGCACACCCCCAGAGATAACCTGGGAGCTAGGGCAGAGAATTGATGCCACGGGTGCACCAGGCGCTGCAGGTCTGTGTGCTCTCAACTCAGAATTCCTCCCTGCCTGTGCCTGACCAGAAGAGGCCAGCCTGAGAAACGGAAAAGGAGCACCTTATAGAACAGGGGTTATGACCCTGCTAGTTCAAATTCTTGCAGGATTAGTTTTCTGATTACATGCAAACTACTTCTCATGAGCATTTCAGTTCTAAACGAGAGGTATTCGAGACATATCTTCTCTGGGTCTAGGATGCTGAAAAATTATTTTCAGTCTAATCTGGAAGTGATTAAAGTCAATGGGATAGCAAAATTCATAATACAGAAAAAGGTATATCTCATAAGACCAGACAGAAAGAATATCTCTCTTTAATTTTGTATATAAGAGACTTCTTTTAAGCATTGGGCACATATAAAAAGGGAAACATACAGGTAAATAAAATATTAATTCAATTTTACTCTACCTTTGTCCCGCTTAAAATAGTCATTATAGCCATGTAACTTTTGCATAGAGATCTATAAGCTGGGATGCCAGGTAGTGATTAAAAACAAAGCGAAGCAAAGCAAAACAAAACAGGTGACTTATGGAGTTACATTAAAGGGAAAGAGGTTTCAGCCTACCGTGGTGATGTAGCGGGAGTGGAATTCTGGAGCGTCTTTCAGGAACGTAAGGCCAGGATGTGTATCTACCACATCCTAAAAAAGACCAAAAGCAAAACCAAATTTAAAAAACCTATAACAAGTATGCCCATAAGATTTTACCAATTTTTAATTTTATCAATAAGTTACCAATTGATCAAATTTGCTATTATGGAATATTGAATAATACACTTAAACTTTATTTATTAAATTAATATTGTTACAGGATACTTGAATGTGCTTTTCCATATGCATAATATATTTCAATAAAAAGTTAAGATTTTAATTTAGCTATATTTGGTGATTTTTGAATTAAATATCTCAGAAGTATGTACTATAATTTTAACATATCTAGGCATCTTAGAGAAATTAATCCAACAGATCTTGGTAGGGGTTGCTAATTGATATTTACACAGAAAAAATGATGGACACAAGCCAATGGGAATGCTTCCTTATCCTCAGGACATGGGAAATTTTTGTAAAAAATTGCCTTGTAGCTAAGCAGCCTGAACTCTGCCTATGGGAAGTTGGGTGAGCCAGCCAATATCCATTAGTTTTTTATCAAAATAATTATGTGGTAAGTCTGTTTATCAATTTAGGATTTTATTTTAAAATCTGGTATTTTGTTCTGAAGACTATTAACATACTAAAACCTTAAAACACTGTTTTTATTTTCTAAATCAAAGCGTTCTGAATGAGCCTAGAGTGCTTGTTAGAGGTAATTACTGTTAATTTAATAACCACAGGCAACAGCAATGCCAACATGCATGTAATCTGTTAGGTGGCTGGTCATCAACCGACAGATGGATATCAGTTGTATCTGCTTTGTTTCTTTAGAGCAGCTACCTATGCCTGTTCAACAAAACGATCTAAAAATAATAGACATTACTGTTTCTTAAACCTTTTAATTGGAAACAGACTTATAAAAAATTGCAAAAAAATTAGAGGAATTTCCTATTTTTAAAACCTATTTCTAATTTTTAAAAAAGATTTATTTTATTCATTTATTTGAAAGGCAGAGTGGGGTCAGTGTAGCAGGTGAAAGCCCAGGCCTGAAGTGCCAGCATCCCATATGGGTGCCGGTTCGAGTCCTGGCTGCTCCTCTTCCGATGCAGCTCTCTGCTATGGCCTGGGAAAGCAGTAGAAGATGGCCCAAGTCCTTGGGCCTCTGCACCCACATGGGAGGCCTGAAAGAAGTTCCTGGCTCTTGGCTTCTGTTGCGGCCATCTGTGGAGTGAACCAGTGGATGGAAGACCTCGCTCTCTGTAACTCTTTCAAATAAAATAAATCTTTAGAAAAAAAAAAAAAGGCAGAGTTACAGAGAGACAGGGAGAGATAAAGAGAGATCTTCTATCCACTGGCTCATTCCCTCTATTGCTGCAATAGCCAGGAGCCAGGAACTTCTTCCAGGTCTCCCATGTGGGTGCAGTGTCCCAAGACCTTGGGTCATCTTCTGCTGTTTTCCCAGGTGCATGAGCAGGGAGCTGGGTTAGAAGTGGAGCAAGGGCCAGTGTTGTGGCATAGCAGGTTAAGCCTCCACCTGCAATGCTGGTATCATGGGCATCGGTTTGAGACTTGGCTGCTCCACTTCCAATCCAGCTCCCTGCTAATGCGCCTAGGAAAGCAGCAGCAGATGGCCCAATTACTTGGGTCCCTACACCCACCTAGGAGACCCGGATGAAGTTCCTGTCTCCTGGTTCCAGCCTGGCTCAGCTCTAGTTGTTATGTCCATTTGGGGAGTAACCAGCAGATGGAAGATTTCACTCTCTACAACTCTGCCTTTCAAATAAAAATTTAAAAATCCCTTTAAAATAAAAAAAAAAAAAAAAAGGAGGGGAGCAGCTGAGACTTGAACTGGCACCTATATGGGATGCCGAAGCTGTAGGCTGCGGTTTAATCCATTATACCACAGTGCTTGCCACAGGAATTTCTCAGGCCTTTCTTCTTGCAGCGTCTCATAATGGGTACAAATCACAAACACAGCATGATGATCAAAACCAGGATATGAACCTTGCTTAAATACTGAACTACAGACCTTATACACATTTCCAGTTTTCCCCCTGTATCTTTTTCTGTTCCCAAATCCTACACTGCATTTAATTTCTGCGTCCAATTGGTATCTTCGAATGAGTGGTTTCAATGCTTTTAACCAAGTTCTGGTCACGCTGTAGAGCATCTGACGTGCGGCTTTGTATGTCTTGTGACTGGATTCAGGCAGTGTATCAGGAGTGCTGCCGTCCCCTTCAGTGCATCACAGGGAGTAGGTGATGTCTCTGGGCACACTTGGTTCAAGTGGTGCCTGCTGCATTCTCCACTGGCCAGTGGAGACTTTTCCTTAATGACTGGTAAACATTATGGTGGCAATTCTTTGAGACGATTTCAATATATCTATTTCTCCTCAAACTTTTGCCCACTGAATTTTGCATTCACTGGTTGCTTTACCTGAAACATTTATATTGTAATATTTACCTAAGAGCGGTTTTGTATGTCCCTCATTCCTTCCACATTTATTAATTATAGTTCTTTTATATATAGATATCCCTTCTCCCACCCAGTATTTATTTGCCCCATTTATTTCCGTGTAGTTCTAAGGGTATTTTATTCTAGGGTTAGAATCCTACCAGGGGTGGAGAACAGCTGGCCCATGGGCTGTTTAAAGTTATTTGGTCTGGTCCTGCCAAGGCCACTGTGGGCAGAACTTGAAATTCAATCCATCTCTAGCAGGCTAATTTTTAAGCTGATAATTTTATATGGCCTGCTAACGATGTTATAAAAATGCAAATGGCCCTTGGCAGAATAAAGGTTCCCCACCCCTGCCTATCATAACTTATTTTGTTGCTCACATTGATCTAATTTTTTAATAGAAAACTTTTATTTGATAAATGTAAATTTTGAAAGTACAACTTTTGGGATTACGGTGGTTCTTCCCCTCATAACCACCCCTCCAATCCCATCTCCTACTCCCTCTCCCATCCCATTCTTCATTAAGATTCATTTTTGATTATCTTTATATACAGAAGAAAATTGATCTAACTTTGACAAGCTGAAACTCCAACTTTCACTTTCCTCATCCCAGCCCTGGTTCACTGTATTGGAGAACAGCATTTACAAACCAAATCTAAGTGCTACAGGTCCTCATGACTGCTGAGGGCTCACTGCTTTCAGGCCCCCTTGGGCAGAAGCAGGAAACAAGCACATGTGGACATTTGTTTCTGCATCTGTGTATATATAAAACCATGTCACCTCATAGTTAACCGATTTCAACTCACCATCACGAGTTCCATCTACCCTTCCTCTTTTTCTTTCAACTTTTTTGTTCCTGACAGTAAGAAATCTGGCTCTCACTATCGACAGTGTCTTTATTTGTTCAATCCTGGTTAGGTAAAAGAATTACACCAGTGACACACAACTTCACTGCCTTGTCAAACGCTACTTCCCAAAAGTTACTCAGTTTATCTCTTTCCATTTCTTTCTCTATTTTCTCCAGTGCAGTTGTGTTCATTGTAATAAAGTTCAGTTCATCTGTCACTGTTTACATTCTGTTTTGGATTTCATTCCCATAGGATCTGGACAGTTTTAATTAATTATTTCTTGAAAGGAGAATATATGAAACTGTACTATGGTTCTCAGAGTCAGAACTCATGTAGAATTCCTAACAATATCAAGTCTTCTCTCTCATAGACGAGACGCAATCTCTTCAGTCACATAAATCAGTTTTTTTCAGTCATGTCTGGCAGTTTTCAGTGTACAGTGCTTATACAACTTTTGTCAGCATTATCTGCAAATAGCTAGAGTTTTGCAGTAGTATTATAAATGACATCATTAAAATTTTCAATTCCTGGGCCGGCGCCGCGGCTCACTAGGCTAATCCTCCGCCTAGCGGCGCCGGCACACCGGGTTCTAGTCCCGGTCGGGGCGCCGGATTCTGTCCCGGTTGCCCCTCTTCCAGGCCAGCCCTCTGCTGTGGCCAGGGAGTGCAGTGGAGGATGGCCCAGGTGCTTGGGCCCTGCACCCCATGGGAGACCAGGAAAAGCACCTGGCTCCTGGCTCCTGCCATCGGATCAGCGCGGTGCGCCAGCCGCAGCGCGCCAGCCGCGGCGGCCATTGGAGGGTGAACCAACGGCAAAGGAAGACCTTTCTCTCTGTCTCTCTCTCTCACTGTCCACTCTGCCTGTCACAAAAAAAAAAAAAAAAAAAAAAAAAAAAAAAAAAAAAAAAAAAAAAAAAAAAAAAAAAATTTCAATTCCTAATTGACTGTTCATAGTACACAGACAACTGATTTTTGTATATTGATAACATTTGGTAGGCTTACTAAACTTATTAAATACAACTTTAGTATTCTTTTAATTTTTAATTAGTTTTTAACATACTCATGTGATTTGTAGACACAGTTCTAAGAACATGAGGATATTTCCCTCCTTTCCTTCCTCTCACCCTCTCTCCCTCCTTCCTTTCTTCCTTCTCCCTATTTTTAGGTTTTGAGATAACATGTTTTAAATTTACATTATAGCAAAAGGGCTAACACTTCACTGAATGAGAAGTTGAACAAGTAAAAAGCAAAAAGACCCTAATTTAGTGGGAATATAGACAACGGCTGTCACTGAATGGAAAAATGACCATTTCACCCATTACACTAAGCTTTAAAGTAATCACAAATCATTAAAACTAGAGTAGTAGAACATGCTTAATCGTTGATTTGACGAAGGTGTAAAACCAAGTTTTACAAAACTGTAACTGCAGCAATACTGGCACACACAGACCTTTCTTTCTTTTTCCTTTTTTTAAATTTTAGCTTCCACATACAAGGGAGGACATGTGATATTTGTCTTTCTGGGTCCGGTTTTTTTTTTTTTTTTTTTGGACAGGCAGAGTGGACAGTGAGAGAGAGAGACAGAGAGAGAAAGGTCTTCCTTTTGCCGTTGGTTCACCCTCCAATGGCCGGCGCACCGCACTGATCCGATGGCAGGAGCCAGGAGCCAGGTGCTTTTCCTGGTCTCCCATGGGGTGCAGGGCCCAAGCACCTGGGCCATCCTCCACTGCACTCCCTGGCCACAGCA